AAAAAATCTATTGAAAAGGCAATCACTTGTTTAAGTAGTAATCTGAATCGCCTGGGTCTATCCTTATGCCCGGAGAAAACCATATTGATACACTTCAACAAAAAAGGCATTCTCCCCGGTTCCTGTTCTATCAATGTCGAAAACTATAAAATTAAGTCTAGTTCAAACGTCAAATTTCTTGGAATCATTTTTGATTATCAATTTCATTTTAAAGATCATATTGAGTTTATTCGTGACAAATGCCTTCAAAGACTTAGTATTCTCAAATTTGTTTCTGGTATCAGATGGGGAGCTGACCCGACCACCCTGGTCACCCTATATAAAAGTCTTATTCGCCCCATTGTCGAATACAACTGTTTTATTTACTTTCCTAGATCAGACTCTCGTCTTCTGAGAATAGAAAGAATTCAATTTTCTGCCTTATGCATTGCCCTAGGCTATAGAATTAGCACCCCTACCAATATCCTGTTGGGAGAATCAAAAATATGGCTTCTTCGCAACAGAGCCGAGTTCCTTTGCAAAAAATATTTAATCAAGAAGCTATCCGTTCCTGGAACTGATCTATATAACTGTATTCATAAAATTACATCTTCTTCGTTTTGGTGCGGCCTAGTGGGCAAGTGTCATTCCATTCTTCTTCTCTTCATATTTGTACAGCTATGAAGCTCTCCAATCTGTTGCTGAGGTTAATTGTGATATTGGTCTTTCTGCTAAAAACTCAGGTGACCCCGGTGTCTACTTTTTGGAACAATTCTGTAATAAACCGTCAAATTCGATTTCATTCTTTACTGATGGAAGCCGAGATGATGAGGGTAATGTTGGTGCTGCTTTTCTTTCTCCGGATATTAATGTCTCATCCTTGCTTGCGCTGAATAAATGGGCTTCCAGTTTTACTGCAGAATGTCTTGCTATCAAAAATGCCTTAGTATGTGCCTCTAAGCATTCATTTGATAATGTTTTCATTTATTCTGATTGTCTGAGTGCTCTTTTCTCCCTCTCTAAGTTCACCATAAATGTTAATTTTAACCCAATCTTGTTGGATATCAAAAATATTATTCATGACCTGGCTCTACGTAATATAAAAACCCACTTCTATTGGATCCCTTCTCATTCTGGTATCTTTTATAATGAGTATGTCGACACTTTAGCAAAAGAAGCTTCTCGCCTCGAACCGTCATTTGATTTCCAGGTTCCCTTCACTGACTTCTATCAAGTATTCAAAAGAGAGGCTAAGAATGAGACTGTGAGACAGCTTCATGCTCAAACCTCTCACAAGGGCACCAAATATTTTGCATGCTTTTATAGCGATTCTGCAACTCCTTGGTTCACTCGAAAAGCCCTTCCTAGGGATTTTATTTGTTTTACCAACAGATTACGTTCTAATCACTTTCAACTAGCTGTCTCACTTGTCCGAATCAATCTTGCACCAGACACAAGGTGCCAATGTAATTATCCAGAGCAGGATTTTAATCATATCATATGGCAATGTCCTTTATATGATTCTGGCAGACCGGACATGATTAACCAGCTGTGCTCTAATGGCTATTTCCCTCCGTACACGATTGATGCTTTCCTTTTTCAACCACTTATACCTCCTATGATGGTTATATTTAAATTCATTAAGAAACATGATCTTCAATTGTAATTTCATTCTACATATTGTATAAGTAGCTACTAAGTTCACTATCTCATGTATGTAATTTTGTAAAACAATTCTTTTTTCTCTCTCTCTCTCTATGTATACTTGTGCTAATAATCCCGTAGGGGGTTACGGCGTAATAAATAAAATCGGAAACCGATAAGGATGACATTGTAAATAAACCGTATAGAGAACTGGTCGGAAGTTTAAATTATCTAGCAAATTCGACTAGACCGGATATAGCTTTCGCGGCGAACGTATTAAGTCGATTCAATGCATGTCCGAAAGAAGCACATTGGAAAATGGCGAAACGCGTGCTTCGTTATTTGAAGGATACGATAAATTATAGCATAAAATACGAAGACAAAAATAGTCCACTACTAGCATATGTAGATTCCGATTGGGCCGCCGATGCAAACGATAGAAAATCGTGTACTGGGTATGTCGTAAAATTAGCCGGTGGTCCAATTAACTGGAAAAGTAAAAAGCAAAGATCGGTTGCGCTGTCCACAATGGAGGCAGAGTATATGGCACTGTCGGAGGTAACCAAAGAAATCATATATGTGAGAAATTTGTTAAAACACATGAAAGTTTATTCACTGTTAAGCAATCCAACCACAGTGTACTGCGATAATTTAAGTGCGGTAGATTTAAGTAAAAATAGCGTGTACCATGGGCGAAGCAAACATATAGACATAAGATATCACTTTTCCCGAGAAGCGCAAGAACAAGGGGAAATTATTGTAAAACACTTGCGTACGAGTGAAATGACCGCAGACGTTCTTACAAAATCATTGGGTAGGATTAAGCACGAGACATGCGTTCGCTTGTTAAATTTAAAATAAGTTAGTATTAAAGGATTGTAAGACATGCAGTTGAGGGGGAGTGTTGGAACAAAGGAGCGTGGTGCAACTGCACGTCATCCGTGCGCGGTTCGGGTAGGCTCGGGAGCCTTCGGGGCGAGTCGGTTGCCGGGGCCGGAAGCGTGGCCCGAGAACAACGGGCAGTCGGTTTGAGGAAACTGGTCGAATGAACACGTGTGCCCACATGACCCATTGTTGAAGCGAATAAATATAGGTGTTGAACTGTGCAGTGCAGTGTGTGGTTAATTTAAGTGAAGCCCCATAAATCCAACAGAAATAAATAAAAATTAAAAATTAAGCGAAAAAAAGAAAAAAAAACAAAATACACTAATTTCGGGGATATGAACCCTCTTTCGAGCCGAATTCTCCAACGTTAACTCCACGGTTACCCATGGCTGTTGAAAACACCATCAAACTACACGGTACATATATCTATCCCGTTACGAAAACCTCAAATCTTTGACTAAACTATTGATGGTGCGGCAAAAATGTATTGGACTTTTGTGTTCCTCTCGTCGAGACCTGAAATTAGAAACAAAAACAAATTCGATTCGACAACTTCGAAATTTTAAACTTTAAAGTCACTTTTTCAAAAATGGCTGTTCATAAACGTCTAGTATTTTACAGATTACATTTGGACATCAGTCCCTACACCTCTGCCAAAGGATATTGTTGGCAACACTGCCAAGAATCTGGCAACGCCTGGGGGGGAGAGTAGAGCCCAACATTATGGGATATGGCGGTTAGCATCATGGCAACTGTATTAGGTTATGTCTTGTCGGTTGTAAATTGAATGATTAATTGTGTTTTGAGTTCAAATATACTTTTATATTCATATTATAAAAGTGCGTATTTTGTGGCTACCTCATCCAGAAAACACAACAGGTATAACCAAATAAGGGGGTCAAATGTGCCCCCAAACCTATTTGAACGAACGATAGGTCATTCGATAGTTTATCCAAAAAAACCCTGTGTGCCAATTTTTAATTTGAAATCTCGACCGTGGGGGTAGTAATGGGGTGAAAACGAAAATCATGTTTTTGTACAATTTCTCTTGACCTATTGAGTGAAAAAATGTAAAAAAATTCAGAGACATTTCGGATACCGGGGCACATATTTTGGGAGATTTTCAGATTTTTTGATTGAAGAACCAGGTAGTAAAAAATAAAAAACCGAAAAAATGTCGATTACGTATTGAAGGAGGTCCGAAACTACTTTTATACTTTTACAGTTAAAAGTACTAGAAGTGTTTCCATTATCTTTAAAACCAGCAGTAAGGAAAGGATAATAACGCTTACATGTCTACGTTAGATACTGAAGCCGCAGCAAACATTCATATTTATCAAAGAAAGAGAACAAGAAGGAAAGATCTGCTTGATTGAAGAGGGAGAAGAAGTAATAGTAAGCCAATATACAATCTTCAGCTCCGATCCATTCACAATAGTCAAAGGTAAGAGATTTGAAAACTAACATTTTATATTAATTTCAGAGATGTTGAACAATAATCGTAGTTGACAAAAAAATATAAAGAATCAAAAAATGCTCCAAAATTATATTTATACATATTTCAGGTTAAAATATTTGGAAAATACTTTTGGAACATTTATAAATAAATATAAAGCATTGTTACATAGTTAGAATTTGAAAAAAAAATGATGAAGAAAAAAAAATACTAACTCCAGAAGAGAGACTCGAACCTACGGTAAAAAAACTTCCAGCGACTCCACAGTTGGACACTCTAACGTTCCGTATCGACGCTGTTGAAAATATCGTTGATTTTTTAGGTTATATGTGCCCAATGGTTGGCTTTATTTTATTTGTTTCAATTGTTATGTAATTCTACTTAGTGTAGAAACATTAAACAGTCTACAAAACACTCATATATTGAAGAAAGCATAAAAATTCAACGTGTAAGTTACTCTAATACGCAGAAAATGAGGAAAATATCGGTTTTTATTTGTTTTCACTGCGGCGCACCAAAATGAAAAATCTGAAAAAATTGAGAATAATAGTAATAGCAATACTTGTTAACTGTAAAAGTATAAAAGTAGTTTCGGACCTCCTTCAATACGTAATCGACATTTTTTCGGTTTTTTATTTTTTACTACCTGGTTCTTCAATCAAAAAATCTGAAAATCTCCCAAAATATGTGCCCCGGTATCCGAAATGTCTCTGAATTTTTTTACATTTTTTCACTCAATAGTTCAAGAGAAATTGTACAAAAACATGATTTTCGTTTTCACCCCATTACTACCCCCACGGTCGAGATTTCAAATTAAAAATTGGCACACAGGGTTTTTTTGGATAAACTATCGAATGACCTATCGTTCGTTCAAATAGGTTTGGGGGCACATTTGACCCCCTTATTCGGCTATACCCGTTGGTTCTAATCCCAGGTTGACAGGTCCAAGTTGACCTCCCCTTGTCAATAGAGTTCCCGGTCCCCAGCACGGCGCCTGAGGATGGTCACCGTGGAGTTTTAACCGGTAAGTGTCCGGTGCTACCCGCCGGCCCTCCCATCGGGCAGGCCCCCGGGTGTCCATGAGGATTTCCCCTCGTAAAAAAAAAAAAAGCACACGGTGTATCGCCACTTGGGCTGCCTAAGCCGCTAAATAAGGTGGTCATGGCATGTGCGTCTATTTTTTCAAAGGGCGTTGACGCTAACAAGTACTTACATTTATGAATAGTGTTTTCAGGCTACTTAGATATGCAACACAATAATGCTTGTGTTGATATTATTTTCTTATTAGATGTAGTTCTTTTTCATGTACTAATTGTATTACAAAAAAAATCCAGAATTTGAAGAAAACCAATACTTAACTAGTTTATTTTCAAATGACATTGCCAATACCGTCTGTCGTACAAGGGTTAACAAATATAACAAACTACAAAAAACAATGCAGGATCCAGCGCAAATTTTTATCTTATTTTTAATTTTAATATGTTATTTATCATAATGTAATGCAAATATATTTTTATACAATATACAGTGATAATATATAAATCAGTTGTTCCTTTAAAATAGGGGTTAATTAAGAGACCATTGCATATTAGTTCATGTACAGAAATACTGGTTGAAGATCCGTATAGATTTAAGTATCAAGAATTCCAGATTTCATATTTGTTCTTCATTTTGTCTGTTAGATAATTGGTTTTGTGCTCCTTGTTCGATTGATAGCTGGTATAATCGTGTGAAGAGCAAGATCAACGACAGTTCTGAAAATAATGACAAAACAAAGCCGTACCAAAGCCGTACGCCTTTTTACACGCGTAAGTCGAAATTCAAGATAATACTACTACCTCACCATGCTAAAGTCATATTTTTTAAGCAGCTCTACATAAGAATAACTTACCTAATAGGTACACTTACATTCACAGATATAAAATTTCATACAAGCATAACCGCAGTATAACTTAATCCTTCCACACTATTTACTTTATTTAATAATATCATACGAGCGTAGCATTCGAATCTACGCTTAAATAAAAACATTACGAAGTCTATCAATTTCAAATTATTTTAATCAGCCTATTTCAATCAAAAAAATTTTCTCACCATCTTCTTAAAACCAGTACTTTTTCTGTCATTTTTTTTTGACAACGATATGACACTACTGCTTCTTGATTCATCACTTTGGTTTAATAACAGAACATCGGTAGTTGTGTCATCATTAGTATGAATTTTTTCTAGAAATGATTTTGAAGCAGTAGAATTTATTCCTTCAGACTTATCGTTGGAATCACCTGAATTCTGACTCCGTTCTGTATTTGCATAATTAAAATGAGCTTTCCTTTTTTTTCTTACACACAAAGCAGTTTTCATAAAGAAAGGCGACGAGTTTAATTTTGTATCCTCTAGGATAACGTTACTATTATTGGAATTAAAATTATCTGTCGACAATTCGGAAGCAATCTCTTCACTTGAAATATCACTTTTGGGTAACATGTTTATTGACGATGAACTCGATTCGTTCAAATTTTCAATGCACGACCTACTGAACTTAGTGTGTTTTATAGACTCGGCATTAAAACTCTCACCGCATAATAATGATAATGGGACACTACATTTTTTTTCATGAACATAATCGTAAAGCCAATCGACTGTATTTTCTGGGGCAGATCTTGGTCGTCTGCAAATCTGTGCGCGAGAATCACTTGCTTGTGATACTTCAGTCGATGAGACGCTCCTCGATGTTACTTCTATATTACCTGTAACTCTATTACCTGCAAGTTTGCAATGTACAATTGAATTCCTTTTTTCGTCATTATTTACATTTGCATTATCAGTATTGAGAATGGTTTCCTTTTTACGTTTTTTCTTTTTTGCCTTTTTAGTTTCTTGAGATTTATCATTAGTTATTATTTCATGGTACGTGTCGGTAATATTGGAAGCTATCTCGCTGGGTCGTCGCTTTTTCGGCTTTTTTATATGCGAACTAAAGGTTTCTGCACTTTTGCGACGAATCGACTCTTTTGTTAACTGTTTTTCCTTTCCCTCGGAACTTTTAATTCTTTGGCAATATAATACAATCAAGAATATTAAAAAGACTTCAGAACACACTAATAAAATATGCTGACCCATCATCGATAATTTTCCAAGCCAACTGTCTCGGTCGTATAGAAGATTTTTTACTGATTTTGTCAGACTGTCTATTTCTTTTCGCAACATAACAATTTCTTCAGCTTTCTTTGATTCGCGTTCCTCTCTCCTTCGTGTATCCTCACTCATCGCTAAGACTGCTCGCTCGAGTGATCTTTGCATATCTTCGACTTGTTTCTTGTAGCGGCGACTTAACTCCTCCAAGTATTGTCCACTCAAGGACATATTCCTCTCTAACGCCTAAAAATATAATAATGTCAATGTACAAAAAATAATAAACCGTTGCGCTAACAATAAAATTGGTGAAATTCAAATAACAGTATTCTACAAATGAAATTTTTTTTCTGTTTTGCAATATCCATTATGTGATTTTTGTAAAGTTCCATTCCCCAAATAGGAATCTGGAAATGGAATTACTGTATCACCCTCAGTTCTCGAAAAATACGAGTTTTTTGTAAAAGAAAGCCTAATTTTTGGTAAAAACGAGGTATTACGCGAAAACTAAAAACATCAGAAAGTTCCATTTAGTCTTAAAAGATAGAGGAGAGATTCCTGAATATGCTAACATCAATAATTATAATATTGGTAATTATTTAGAAAATGGGGGGTCTCATCGATTTCGATGATTTTTGAATATGTTCTAGAAATCAACATTTAGAACAACTTTTTCCTATACATATAACCGTCGCTCGGCCTTAGTTTCCGAGATTTTTCTTCAAAAAGATTGCTGCTACTACGATGAATTCTATCTATACGTGCGTGTCTGTGGCAGTGTGTGTAAGCGTTGAATCGCCGATTGTTTATTGTTTCTATAGATACATCGAGGCGGTCGGGAATGGATGCGTATAACGGGTGTGCTTAAAAACTCGATTTGAGCAGCCGGCCGCCTAATGGCGGCCGGTATAAAACGGTCTAACCCAAACCTTATTTAAACCTAACTATTCTACCTAGTAACTAATATAATAAATTAGATCTGGGTTAGATTTTCTTATACCGACCGCCGTCAGGCAGTCGGCCACGCATTCATTTTCTATTTCAATTTTCTTTATTGATATTATCAGAAGTGGGAAAGATTTCAGCCATTATTTCGAAAAATTTCATTATTCGATCATTAAAATCATATGGCTGAAATCTTTCCCACTACTGATAATATCAATAAAGAAAATTGAAATAGAAAATGAATGCGTGGCCGACCGCCTTACGGCGGCTGGTATAAGAAAATCTAATCCAGACCTAATCCATTATATTAGTTACTAGGTAGAATAGTTAGGTTTAGAGTAGATTGTTTTATGCCGGCCGCCGTCAGGCGGCCGGCTATTCAAATCGAGTTTTTAAGCACACCCGTTATACGCATCCACTCCCGGCCGCCTCGATGTATCTATAGAAACAATAAACAATCGGCGAATCAACGCTTATACACACGCTGCCACAGACACGTACGTATAGATGGAATTCATTGTAGTAGCAGCGATCTTTTTGAAAAAAATCTCGGTAACTAAGGCCGATCGGCGGTTATATGTATAGGAAAAAGTTGTTCAAAATGTTGATTTCTACAACATATTCAAAACTCATCGAAATGGGTTTGACCCCCCCTTTTCTAAATTATTACCATAATATTTTGTGCTTTTGAACTGTTGTAAATGATCGCCAAAGTTTAAAAAGGTGTCGAGGTACCATAGTGAGATGACTTCATGGCTAGGCACGCTGATTGGCCGTAGCGTAATAGCGACGCCTGCTATCTGGCATTATTGGCTGAGTCGCTCACAACTACAATTCCATTGCGAGAGGAAGGACGTATAGTGACAAAGTAGGGTAGGACAAAACTGAAGGACATTGGTATAGCCATAGGCTCAAAATACTCCTGTGGTTATGGAGACCCTACTATGTACTATGTAGCGTGACATCAGAGCGGACCTCTCTAGTGGGAATAAGGCGACGCAAAGACCTTCTCTCCTTACCCTTGCCCCGTTTAGTTTGTAGGTGTCTAGCCAACAAGTCATCTCTCTATGGTACGTACTTTCTATTCAATATTTTTGTTTATTTACAAAAAGTTCCTTACCTGACACAAAAATTATATACAGGATCTGATTCTGCAGACATTTCTGAAGAAGAAACTGTCCAACAGAACTGTAGAAGCCACTTTCAATTGTCGCAGGTCGACAGATATTCATCGGTAACGCGTGCACAGCGTTTTACGGCCACGTGACTATCGTTTGCCTATCTCGGTTAGGTAGTGCCGTAGCTATATACAAGCAAAACTGGTGTAATGTTGCAATAGGGTATGCATTCTGTATATAGTACCTTTGATTTTTTTTCATAATTTTTATTGCTTCATATTTTTGTATAACCTTGGACACTAATCACTGAATTATATTTTCAAAATCCATATAAACTTATAAGAAAGTCATAATATTTTTATACACTCTTGGATACTAATCACTTAATATACAAGTGAATATAAAAATATTAAACAACAGAAATTACAAAAAAAACAAACACAATATACAGGGTTGTCGGCCACCCCAGGGAAAAATTTACATGAGCGATTCTAGAGGCCAAAATAAGACGAAAATCAAAAATACCAATTAGTTGATGGAGGCTTCGTTACAAAGTTATTAACGATTAAAGTTCCGCCTTTAAAATAGCAATCTGCGTACAGCTGCGTTCGCGCGGAAGGTTGTGGCAGGCCAGTGCTAGTGGTTGTTACGCAGCATGAAAAATTTTACTTACCGACATTTTCGACAGCCTTAGATTTTTGTCCACTGATGGGAACGCGAACACCTTACATTGAATAAGATTCAACCTGCCTTATGAAAATTTAGAAGGGCATATCAAAACTCGTCTGACGAGATTTTCATAGAGACAGGGTGAATGCCACTTCCAATACACAATGTTGTGCACAAGAATCATCCAAACACGATCATACACGCATCACGATTGTCCACAGTGTCCGCAAATGTCCACAAATAATCCTTTCAGGCACTAACCACCATGCAATTAAATAAACATGCATCGCGATTATGTTATTCGTGAATGTCTATGTGTACGTGTACCACGAATGCTCCAAATAGAACTGTTATTCATTTTTCAAATATACTTCAATTTAAAAATGTAAAAATGAATTTAATATGTAGACCGATAGATGTATTTTTTGTTGTAGACCGTTAGATTTATTTTTGTTTGTTCCGCATGCTTGAGAAACGATGCTGTGTGCAACCGATTCGGGCCGGGTGTAAAAATCGATCGGCTGCACGTATCGTGGAACATCGTTCGAAGGACCGAAAATGTTCCACGGCACGTGCCGGGAAGTTTTGCACCCGGTGCGAAGGAAAAACCAAAGGACGATCGGGACCTGGGATATACATATAAGCCAGGGCGCCGATCACCCGAGAGAGTCAGTCTATTCAGTTTATACGTCGAACTATTGGTCCGTACGTCGTCATATAAATAAAGAATATTCAACCTGAATTGTAAGTACAAAAGTTCCTGTCACCTCTCCAATTGTCTACAAATAAGTATTCGCTAATTGATTATATCACTATATTTCTTACATGCTACTTAATACATAACTGAATGAAATATGTCTAAAATGAGTCGCGAGATCTGTCTTGACTGATTCTTTTTTACGACTGACTAGCTGAACGAACTGTTGCCGATTCTGCCATTTGTCACCACTGACAATGAGTGTAGAGTGCATGCGCGCGCGTGTGTGTGTGTGTGTGTAATAAGCGAGGCGAGTGACGTAAGAATCGATGTTCAGTTCGGTATTTGTTTCTCTGAACCTCGTCGATCGATGGCATAGTCAGCTGCTAGTATCGTTACATTGTTCAGCGTGAACACAAATTGACGCGAAAATTTCATTTATCCAACGATTCCTTTTTACATTTTTAAATAAAAGTGTATTTGAAAAATTAAAAACAGTTCTATTCGTAAGTAACTCGAGAGAATCGTGGTGCACGTACACATAGACATTCACGAATAACATAATCGCGATGCATGTTTATTTAATTGCATAGTGGTTAGTGCCTGAAAGGATTATTTGTGGACATTTGCGGACACTGTGGACAATCGTGATGCGTGTATGATCGTGTTTGGATAATTCTTGTGCACAACATTGTGTATTGGAAGTGGCATTCACCCTGTCTCTATGAAAATCTCGTCAGACGAGTTTTGATATGCCCTTCTAAATTTTCATAAGGCAGGTTGAATCTTATTCAATGTAAGGTGTTCGCGTTCCCATCAGTGGACAAAAATCTAAGGCTGTCGAAAATGTCGGTAAGTAAAATTTTTCATGCTGCGTAACAACCACTAGCACTGGCCTGCCACAACCTTCCGCGCGAACGCAGCTGTACGCAGATTGCTATTCTAAAGGCGGAACTTTAATCGTTAATAACTTTGTAACGAAGCCTCCATCAACTAATTGGTATTTTTGATTTTCGTCTTATTTTGGCCTCTAGAATCGCTCATGTAAATTTTTCCCTGGGGTGGCCGAGCACCCTGTATATGTAGCTATGGTACTTGCAGAGCCGAGATAGGCAAGCGATAGCCTCGTAGCCGTAACCACGCACCCGTTTGGTTCTCCAGGCGGCAGGGGAGGTGAACCCCTACGTGGCGGGTCCCCAGGTGGCGGATAGGGGCAGCCGCTGGGATGGGATGCGGAGATGAGGTCATCAACCTGAGAAGGCTGGTGGCCGCACCGTCGCATGGCATCCCGGAGGTCGGAGCGAAAGCTCCCGCGGACCAAACACCGATATGAATGTGTTGCGCGTGTGTATGTGTGTGTGAGTGGACTGGGGCATGGGATATCTGCCGCGGCTTTTATCTAAGGCCGTAGGTTGACCAGGCACCTGCGGTTGAGTGGGAATGCGGTGGGAGGAGTTCCTCTCACCGGGAGGGGCCTGAAAAGGCATGGCGCGGCTGGGGACTCTGTGATGGCTCACTAGAGTTCTCGGTTCATCGCCAGGCGCCTGAGGATGCTCACCGTGGGATTTTAGCCGGTAAGAGTCCGGCACTACCCGCCGGCCCTGCCTTCGGGTGGGCCCGCGGGTGTCCATGAGGATTCCCCCACGTACAAAAAAAAAAGCCTCGTAGCCGTAAAACGCCGCGCACGCGTTACCGATGAATATTTTCTCGGCCTGCGCCAATTGAAAACGGCTTCTACAGTTCTGTTGGACAGTTACTTCTTCGCAAATGTCTGCAGAATCAGATCCTATGTATAGTTTTTGTGTCAGGTAAGGAAC